TAGAACAGCCTATGTGGCCTTGGCGGCGGGGCCAGCATCTAGTTGGAACTCATCATCGGCGCACGCCACGTCAGGGTCCTCTAGGGTGACTCGAGACGGGGTCGTGTCTATAATCTAATATTTGATGATCCTTTCTGATTTGGAATTCTATGTTATTTTCTTGCAGGAACTTGAAAGATCTATGTCTGAGAGGCACTCTAGCTCCGGATCCCAGGAACCTGGTTCATGTGAAATATATGTAAGACACTAAATTGATTCCTGTTTGGATAACATCTGCAATCCCATTCTTGTTGTCTCAGGAAAGTAACTTCTATATTTTCAAATGTACATTTTACATAATTTTGATTTAGTTTAACTTGCTTTACAGGATTTTACGCAACAATTCTTGCTCTGGTCTCATTCAAGAAGAGATCGCTAAGTTGAACGAATTAGAAGTATTGGACCTTGGATATAATAACTTCAGTGGACAGCTTCCTTGTCATTTTATCAATAATTTCTCAATAGCAATTTTGTAAGTTCACAATACAAGTACCTTACTTAACACTGAAACGAACTTTTTGTGCTCTCCAAAATGGGCATTTTTTGTCTGATACAGTTTACTGGACAATAATGTGCTTCTTGGCAACATGCATCCTGAAATTTATGAGCGTCAAAAGCTATCTGAAGTTCAAGTGGATGGACGTTTGCTTCAAGAAAGTACATGCTATGCTCACCTACAAGGGGACAAACGACTTGCTCAAGGGGGAAGTCCCATGTGAGACGGATCAAATCAAATTTTTTTTTATGTCTCCACTTCTTCCAGTAATCTAGTTAGTGGAATGATGGATGAAACAATTGTATTGATTATCTTACTCCTTTTTAGATAGGTTGTGTTGTATCACATTCGAATTTTGTATTGATTCAAAAATTTATAATGAAATTATCAATTTTTATACAATTCCAAAATGTGTTCACAAAGTTTTATTTTTAATTTTGTGGGTCAATTACTCAATTACCATAACTAACTAAAAAAAAAAAAGCCTACCGCAACGTTGAAAAAAAGCTGCAAAAGGGGTCTACCGCAACTTTTAAAAAACGCTGCAAAAGAGTTTTTCGCAACGTTTAAAAATGCTGCAAAAGAGGTCTACCGCAACGTTTAAAAAATATTGCAAAAAGTCTTCCCTCTACAGCAACATCAACCTTTGCAACACTTGAAAAAACGCTGCAAAAAGTCTTTTGCAGCGTATTTTTGCCGCTGCAAAAGCTCATTTTTGACATAATGCCTGTTTTAAAGGCAATTGTAGCTAGCATAAAATGCAGGCAACTTTTTTCATATAACAGCCATTTTGGCTGTATTTGTGTGGCTCATCACGGGCTGGCCTGTGTGGCCCGACCAAAAAAATATGGCTCATGTGCTATGGGGCTGTCCGAGATAGAAATATCGATATAGAAATTCATGCTCATTCAACACTTGATTATTTCATCCCAAATGAATAAAAATATTGACGTCAAAACTTATTTTCCTTTAAAAACTTTAAATTATATAAAAAAAAATGTGCCCAAAATGAAATAAACGAAATTTTCAATCATTACAATCCTCTCCACATAAAATAATTTCGTTCTCGAAATTCAACAACTTAGTTTATTAAAAAGATATGAGTACATAGCTAAAACATCTGCTTCTCTCTCCTAAGTTGCCTTGTCTCTCCCATGTCTACTCGACTGGACTTTGACTGATGTCACTTCTCAATTTCTCAAAACATGTACATTTCTCTGTAAAACCAATACAGATGCTTCTTTATAAGCCATATCATTTTGCACATCCAACGACTGAACATTAACCACGTGACTTGGATCCTGGACGTGTTTCTCAACATAGAAATGTGAAATACGTCATACATTGTTGATAATTCAGGTGGCATTGCCAAACGATATGCCACGTTTCCAACTTCTCGAGAATCTGAAACGGGCCAATAAATCTCGATTTCAACTTCTCTTTCTTTCCAAATTGCTGTATTCCTTTTGTCTAGGCAACCTTGAGAAATATTTTCTCTCCAACCTCAAATTCTTATTATTTCCTTCTCTTATCTGTATAACTCTTTTGGCAATCTTGAGCCATACTAATCCTCATTCTGATCTTATTTATCGCTTCCATAGTTTTTCAATGAAGTTCTAGACCTAAAATTGTCCTCTTACCGACTTCACCTTAACATATTGGCAAACAACGTCTTCAGCTATATAATGCCTTGTATGGTGCCATGTCGATAGCAGCTTAAAAACTATTGTTGTATACAACTCAACCAACAGCAAGTAGTTTTCCCATTTACCACCCAAGTCTAGTACACATGCTTTTAGCATATCTTCTAGTACTTGGATAGTTCGTTCTGACTATCTATCGGTCCAATGATGATATGCAATACTGACACAGAACTAGTTCTCATAGCTGTCTAAAGACTTCTCCAAAATTTCGAAATATATCTCGAGTCTCTGTCACATACAATAGATGCTGGTACTCCATGAGGTCGGACGAGATCTCTCTGACATATAACTGTGCAAATTGTTCCAGACTGAAGATTATACGAATTGGTAGAAAATGGATGGATTTTGTTAGTCGGTATATGATTACCTAAACAGCATCATGGACCTTCGCCGACCTAGAAAAACCCAGTACAAAATCCATTGAAATCTTTCTCCACTTCCATTCTGATATGCCCATTGGATTTAATAGCCCTGATGACCTTTGATGCTTTGATTTCACGTGCTGACAAACTATACACTTTTACACGAACAAAACTATTCTTCCTTTCATATTCCTCCACCAAAAGGTTTGCGTAAGTCTCTGTATATTATTATGTAGCTTGGTGTGTGACATGAGGAGCGGAATGAACCTTTGTCACAATCTCATTTCTTACTCATGTATCCTTAAGTACACACAGCCGGCCCTTAAACATAAGTGTCTTATAGTTGTTTATCTCAAATGCTTTCCTTTTCTCAGTTCCAATATCAGCCTTGATCTTTTCCAAGAAAGGGTCATCTTTCTGAGCTACTATAATCATGTCCCTGAGTGTCGATTTTAAAACCAAACTTGTTAACTTCCTTGATGCTCGAGCTAATAGCGTTAGCACTTCTATTCTCAAATTTTCAAAGTCCTTGATTAATGGTTCTGATGTGAACATGGTGCTGATAAATGACTCATATTCTTTCTATTCAGAGCATCTACTACTACATTAGCTTTACCTGAATAGTGTAGAATGGTGCAATCATAATCTTTTACTAGCTTTAACCATTATCCTTGTCTCATATTTAATTTTTTCTAGGTAAATAAGTACTTGAGACTGTAATGATCACTGTAAATTTCACACTTGCTTCTATATAAGTAATGACGTCAAATCTTGAGAGCTTGAACTATCGCTGTAAGTTCTAAATCATGCATCGGATAATTTTTTCATACTGCTTTACCTATCTCAATTCATAGGCGATAACATTTTCATGTTGCATCAAAACACAACCCAATCCTAGCTTAGATACATCATTATAGATCACAAATCCATTCGATTCTTATGGTATTGCTAACACTAGAATAAATACTAATCTATCTTTCAATTCTTAGAAACTTAGTTCACACTTACTGAACTATACAAACTTCACACCCTTCCAAGTCAACTATGTAAGTGGACCCGCTATCTTAGAGAAACCTCCTACAAATTGCCGATAGTATCTAGCTAAATCTAGAAAGCTCCCCATGTCTCCAACATTCGCAGGTCTTGACCAATTTGTAACAACTTCAACCTTACTTGGATCTATCTCTATACCCTATCATCAAATCCATAAATGCATTAGAGGCATTCGTAAGTCCAAATGACATAACTTTAAACTCGTAATGTCCGTAGCGAGTCCTAAATGTTGTCTTGGGTATATCACTCAGCTTGATCTTTAGTTGATGATAACCAAAACTCAAATCAATCTTTGAAAACACGGTCGCTCCATTCAATTGATTAAATTAATCATCAATTATCGGAAGAGGGTACTTATTCTTGACGGCCAGCTTGTTCAACTACCACAGCCAATGTACTTCTCATTGTTCCATCCTTTTTCTATCAAATGGAGCACCTGGTAGATCATCATGAAATATATTAGTGGATTCCTGCACAACACTTTATTCAATGTTGTCTCCTCTGATGGTATGCCAAAAAAAACTGACAAGGTATACTTGATAAGTTTTCTTCCTCAATAACCTCTCCTCTTGTGTAACCGAGATAAGACAGAAAAATACCATAATCTTCGAACCATAAAACCTAAACTCCTCCTTTTCAAGTCTTTTGAAGATCATTTCCTTCTCGAAACATAAAATTGTGGCTCTATTAATACCTAACGAGTCCATATCCAAAATAATGTCAAAACAATAAGAACGTAAACATGAATACAACAGATGGCACTACCTAGCATCCTGAAGTATAGTAACTTGACTAGCCACACTTGTAACAGACATTTTTGTCAAACAAACATCCACCCTTATGAGCATTTTTGCACTTAGGGCACAGAGGAAAGGGATTTTTCGAGTGCCCACCAGTAGGCCCATTTTTTTTTTGTTTCTTGAATTATCCAGAGCTCTTATTCTTACCATATTCTACCACTTCCTTTTTCTAGTATCATTCTGTAGTCCTTGGCTTCGGAGCTTGTAGCTCAAAAATGATACAAATTGAGCATTTTCACAACTTTTTGATAAGTGGTGTACTTGTTTGAAGTGTAGCATTTGATCTCTGGGCGTAGTCTTTTCTCAAAGCGCTTTGCTTTCGTGAGCTTCGTATTTACGAGATGTGGAGCATAGTGGGACAAATCTTCGAACTTCCTTTCATAATCAATGATGTCCATCTCTCTCTGTATTAGTTGTAAGAACTCTGCCTCCATACGGTCGAGAAGGGCTAGCGAGAAATATCTCTCTGTCAACTCCGTTTGGAATTGGGTCCATGTTATATTACGTCGTTCTTCATCCGCCTATGTGTGCGATGAGGATTCCCACCAATGGTTGGCTCCTCCAGCCAGCATGAATTCTACGCATAGAACCCTCTGATATTTTTGGACAATATACCAAAATCTTATTAATTGTTTGGAGCCATTCCTCGGTTGCCAAAGGGTCATTACCACCATCGAAGCTCGAAACTACTCAATGATTGGCACAGCGGAACAGTGGTTGGTGCTGGAGCAGTGGGTAGTATAGAGGCAGTTTGTGTTGTGACAAGTAGCATGTCGATACATCTTGTCCTATTGAGCCATTGGTGTTATCGAAGTAGCTTGTGCCAATAAAACCCGTCTCATTTCTTCCACTGCTTGCTCTACATCCCTAATTGCTCTCGAGTGTGATGTTGGTGCCATTTTCCTTCATACAAAATGGTATAGGTTTGTAATCTATAGGGAAATCACAACAATCACGCATTGCACAATATAATGAGAAAACCACAAAAAGGAAATAACATATTTTATTATTAATTAGATCTTTTATGAGGAATATAATTTATGAAAGAGCATCTGGCGCATCAACCGGAAAAGGAAAATCCTACTCAACCTTATTACTGATGAAACGATAACTAAACTGGGAAATAACAGGTAAATACTATTCTATAACTATTCCTCATCATCTGAGCTAGGAGGTGGTACATCACTATAATATCTTGGACAATAGGCATATAGTCTGCCATCCATTTGGTCCTCAGCTCAGAGCAAAAGGCCTTGTAATCAATTTCCTGAGGTAAAATATGTACGATGACCCTCCAAAGCCAAT